GTTCGTGGTGAGAAATATTCGCGATGACGGAGCTCTCGCGAACTTCGCGAAAAATTCTTGCACGTGAATAAATGTTGGTAAACAGTACTTGAAGTCCGTGAGAGTCAGATCACAATCACAATTTAAATGCCACAATCCATCAGGGTAGTGGTTTTAAATTTGTTAGTTTCAAAAGATAAAAAAGCGTGTTTGTCTCAAAGCAATATGGTACTCCGGATTTTTACTGCTAGAGTTTGAATCTTAAGAATTGCATATAATTATTTAATAAAGAATATTTATATAAGATAAAAAATTTTGTCTCAAACAAGTTAAATTTATTATAATTTCATAAATATCATTGTGAGAACTTTACTTTAAATACTTAATTCGCAAATTGAATATAGTTATTTAAATACCTGAAGCTCTAGGCATTCTGCCTGCCTTGTGCATTCATCTTCTTTAGAACAGAACAATGAATGAATCGAATCGCTATCGGTCAAATTAATCGCTTTGGCAAAGCATTCGACAGTATACATCGTCTTGCTTTATGGAAGAATTCCTAACCAGATCATTTCCACCATTCAGATATTATAAAAGGACTTCCAATCAGTTGTGATCTACGGCTAGAAGTAAATGACAACTTCCCAATCCAAATGGGGTACGACAAGGATGTCTGCTTTCACCATTGCTCTTTAAGCTTAACTGATTATGAAAATCACTACCAACCAGGCTAATAGAGAAAGATCCTGGACATTTCAACAGTCACTTGAAGATCTTGACTTTGCAGATGACATCATTTTATTGTATTACTAGCACAAGAATATCCTATGCAAAACTGATGTCCAAACAACCATAGCAGACAAACTGGACTAAATATAGATGTAACAGACTTAACTAAATGGATGTAAATACAAAAATAAATAAGGGAGTTTACAAACAACAACAGAATACAAGAAGTACACAATTTTATATACCTTGGCATCAAGATTGCAGTCAATAGAGATTCCCCAATGGATGTTGAAAAAAGAATTGTAAGTGTCACCTTTGCCAACCTACAGAACATTTTGAACTCTTCAATTAACCAAAACAAGAAAAAGGATATTCAAAACAAAAGTTATTGGATTCCTCTCCTCTGTTGATCTGAGTTCAGGAAAGTAACAAGCAACACCACTCAAAAACTAAATACCTTTGTTACAACGCACTTTGAAAAATTACGCACTTTGAAAAGTTTTTTCAAAGTGCGTTAAATTTGGGACCAAGCTAACGCACTTTGAAAAAATTAGATTTCTTTTCAAAGTGCGTTAATATCGACCATTTTAACGCACTTTGAAAAAAATGTAAAGCTTGATCAATGTATTAACAAATAATCGGTATAGTAAATAATTGACCCTGGTTGGATAACTTTTTGGTGATTAGGTCACTTCAGGACCTGAGATATTGACGTTTTAAATATTTTAGGTTTTGATAAATATTGTAAAAGGGAAAAATAGAAAGATGATTGTTTAATATCATTATTTCGTTTCTTTTTAAAATTTCTAGTCTGTAATTAGTAGATGTAGAGGGCGGGGGCTAAATGTGAACTACTTAATGAATATCATTTATCTTAAGAAAAAGGGGAAATTTGATTTTCCCAGACTATATATGGAAATTCTTTCAATCTCATACGTTTTACTGTACTTTTAAAATTCTAGTTTTCAAATGTTTGAAGTTAATTTAATTATTGATAGTTTTCAACGTTATACCGGTAATGTAAATACATATCCATTATTTGGGTATAGCATAGGCATCATAACCGGTCAAAAACAAGGAGAAGGGAGCTTAGCCCCCCCCCCCCGGGGGTCCCAACTTATTTTGGAAAGATATACATCATATAGGCATGGAAATGCTGCTTACCCTGTTGTGGGTTTATTACTCCCCTCCCCCGTTTTATTTCTTACCGAAGCATTTGTATTGAAAAAGAAAGAGATAATCTGAGAGATCTTCTACCCGTTTTCTACTCTTCTCGACGGGAGTAAATCAATTCATAGGTTTACTGAAAGATAAATATCAGTGAAATAGAATCTTTCCAATACTAAAATCTAAAATCAGAATTTTTGTTTTTACATATTTTTTTCAAAGTGCGTTAACTGAACCCATGGTAAAATATATTGATGAAAACTCTTAACGCACTTTGAAAAACATTTTCAAAGTGCGTTGAGTATGTCCCAAATTTAACGCACTTTGAAAATTTTTTTTCAAAGTGCGTTGATTTTGTCCCAGTTTTAACGCACTTTGAAAATTTTTTCAAAGTGCGTAATTTTTTCAAAGTGCGTTGCCACATACCTTCCAAATAGGATGTCTTCGTAGAATACTCAAGATGTTTTTCGTTCGTACACTTAAATATCATGGCTTTGTTGTTCTTGAGAAGATTTTTTCAGATTGTATCTATGTTTTCTCATGTAAAACTTTGATTGTCTATATTGGGCTCAACTGTTCCCCAAAGGAGGGGGGTCAGGAAGCTATTCACAACTTTTTTTTTCAGGCTCAGTGGATTTATATACTATTTTCAATAGTTTTTAGTTATTTCCCTTTGAAGGAGTGAGTGTTTGGTGCTTCCTTTGAGCAAACATGATTTCTCGGCCTCCATACTCTGTGCCAAATTTGGTTAAACTTGGCAAAAGTGGCTATGAATAAGAAGATAAAATTGTGAAAAGTTCACGACATCATTGACAATCAGAAATATTCACTTGAATTTTTGGTTCAATAACTTAAAGTAGGTTGTATGATTTTGTATATTCTTTCAATTTTTGGTTTATTTTAGGCATAAATGATGCAAAATTTAAGTTCCTAAAACATATTAAGATATCTTTGACTTATTCTATATATCATATATTTCTTAAACGTTCCGTATATGTAATTCGTAATAAATTCAACTTCGCATAATTATGATAAAATACACCATTTTTTCCTGCATATGTTTATGTCTTCAAGATAATTTGATAGGCAAGAGTTGTAAGCGATTCAGTCTATCATAAGTTGAATGTCAACTGAGATACTAGTATTATTTCTTAAACTTGTTACGTCTTTTTTCACAATCTGAAAGTTCATGTGTTTTTTACCTTTGTCCATTTACATGGCAATTATGACTCTTTGGTAGAGGATGTTTACTACTCCATTGAACCTGATCTCACAAAGGACAAAAATTGAACTGGTTCATTAAAAAATCTTTTTATGAATAACTTGGCCAGAAAAGCTAATTCTGATGCGGAAGCTTCCTGATTTAGTGTAGTTTAAAATTGCTTAAACAATGACATCTAGGGATAAGGCGGGACCACTTTATTACAAAGATTAAAAGAGGAAAAGTATTTTTAAATACTCTACAGTACAACTAGCCCAAAAAAAAAGCTGAAACAGATGTGAAAGCATCCAGATGAAGCGTAGATTCTAAATTGTTTAAATCATGGCCCCTGTGGGTAGAGTGAGGCCATTACAGGAAATTACATTGAAATATATAGGAAAAAATCTTTTATAATCTTTTATAATCCTCTTAAGAACCATTGGACAAGAAAAGTTGAAACTTGTTTGGAAGCTTCATGGGATAGTATAGATTTTAAATTCTAGGATGGAACACCAATAAAAAATCAAAGTTTTACACTAAAATGTACAGAAAAAATATTTTAAAATCTTCTCAGGAACCATTTAGGCCAGGAAAGGTGAAACCAATTTAAAACTTTGAAGAAATTGATTGAACCTAGGGATAGGGTGTGGCTACATGCGGGGAAAATCTTGTACAGTAAAGGGGGGACAGTGACTAAGGTGAAAATTTTTGGCCCATGGGCCTCTTGCTTTGATAATCCCTTACATATACATGTTTAGGATGGTTAAATAAGGTGCATTGGAATATAATTTTTAGATAACATCATCGCTATCATTTTCAATGAAAAATGAAGAAATTTAGGTTTGTATTTCTTCCTTTTTCAGAAAAAAGGAAATGTATCAGTATTGCCAACATTCTCTCAGAAAATAAAATGTTTAATATTCTTCATAATTCTGTAAATTACTGTAATAGTTGTTAAGTACAGGAAAATTAAGTTTTTCAAAAAATGGCTGCATTTCATTTCCGGAATTTTAGGTAATTATCAACTTTTCATTTCCGACATTTTTTAGTTTTCATTTCCGACATTTTTTTGTTTTCATTTCCGACATTTTTCAAATACCGGTACATATGTAGTATCTATAGATTTGATAACTTTACTTATGAAAAATTTAAAGGAATAAATCATAAATAAATCATTTAATTCTAATTTTGTAAATTAATCTATCGGTGACTTGGACATAAGTATGGTGCTGTCACTGACATTTAATTTAGTGCACATTAAATGTGGTGAAAATTATTTATACTCATTGAACTCTTTTACCTAGACTTGGTGCTACATGTATGTATATATTATGTATAGATGATTTTATTATTATTATTGATATTTTGGTATAAATACTTTCAAAATTCCATTTTCTTTTACTTAGAAAACATTGAATTGTCGCACAGGTAAATTCCGGAAATGAAAAAGAAATTATGTCGGAAATGAAAACAAAAAATGTCGGAAATGAAATAAAAAAATGTCGGAAATGCTATGCATATTTCCGGAAATGAAATGCAGCGCAAAAAATTACATAGTAAATCAATTATGCCATTATGATGATCATCATAAATATCATTGTCATTTAGCATCAAAAAGACAGCTTAAACTTATTTACCTTACTAGATTTTTTACCTTTCAATAAGAACAATACTTATCCTATTTGACTATTATTTCTCGGATTTCAAAAGTGATACCCCTACTAAATTTAAGTTACAATAAGGATCAACAGTGATACCTTTAAATCAATCTGAATACTAGTATACTGTCTAATCAATAAAAAGTTCTGACACCCAAATCCATGTGCCATTTTATTTCAAAAAGATACATTTCTCCATCAGGACAGAAAAGCCAGGGTTTTTTTTTTTATTTTGATCATTTTTAATATAATAACAAAAATAAATCTAACACAGGTAAAAAATATATTAAACATACCCAATATTCAAAGAATTTGAGCACCAAAAAAATTGCAGAAAATACACTGAAAAAATTTATTTACAACATAAAAAAGACATGTACATGTCAGTATTTGTAAGCATGTGATTGGACAAAACCAAACCAGAAGAAGTAGTCCATGATAGACTGACGCTCACCGGAATCCATGAAATCAAAGGGCCTGGTGTAAGATATGGAGGCTTTATTTGGCTTTGGTATAAATCCCTCCTCCCTAAGGCTGTAGTAATCCTCCCGTTCTATATATAGGTACGTGAAAATAATCTGAAATTTAAAAAATTACACATCTGAGCTACAATATACAGCTATTGAAATACTGTATGCATACTTAAAATAGTGGGCTTCATATTTTGGCCTGGACAAAGATGAATTCATGAATACAGCTAATACATATGTACATGATCATTCATAAATGCAATAAATGGCCCATTTGTGTGTAGTGCTAATTCATGAATAGGCCAACAACTCAACACCATGTGATTGCGCTAAATTTTAAATCAGCTAAATTATGTACACATATAGTATCTTAAACATTGGACCCCTTTATTTGCCCCTGCCATAGAAATCTTTAGTTTCTAAAGCTGTGCCACATTTGACAGGCAAAAGAGAGATAACTTTTGCCACAAAATATTGTCTGTTGGTCCACCTGTTAAAATAATTTGATTGCCGGATTTTCACAGCTAAAAATGGCCTGGCTCAAAACTTTTGTTAAATAGTTACCAGGAGACAATCATTTTCATTTTGGAATTCTCTCTCTCTCTCTCTCGTCAACAACTTTTTTTAAATTTTATTTTTACATACATGAACTTTGAAAATTCAATATTGATGTTGGAATTTTATATTTTTGTTGGGAGATTCCTACCTGATTACCAATGCAATTTTTTTAAAGTATGAAAAGAGGGCAAACTGACATTATTTTGAAGATGGTCTTGTATTCATTTTTTACCTTCCCAAGGAATTACGTGTGCAATATGGATAATCAAGTAAAACTACTAAATCTATTACAAGAAATCTTTTGACAATTTCTTCTTGAGAAGGAATAAATTTAAATAAAATATGACCAAATTCTGAAACAAGGGACAACAGAAAATAAAAATGAACAGAGTACCTTTCTGTCCCTAGACACGCATTAGCTAAATATAAAAAGAACTTACTTTTGTCCCAATACACACAAGTCCCACTACATAAGGAAAGAAGAAGGAATCCCTTGCTTCAATGATCAGTTGAATTCCATGCCGACCAAGAACGTTCTTTCCAATATGTTTAAAAGTAAAAGTCTCTTCATAACACTCTCTTGTAAACGCATTGCCTGGATTTATCTGAAAAAAAAGTAAAATAAAAAAGGACATTCTTATAATGATATCAATGACAAAATAGAGAGTTTGAGACCTCATTCAAAGAAAAGGTAGTCTCTAATTGTTTTGTGACCATAAATATCTGAGAGCAAAGTTGCTGGCAAATCTTGCTGATAGTTCTTGCACATATAAAAGCTTATTTAAAGCATCCATTTTACGGAATAATTATTTATGGCTTACCTCTGTCACTGTAAAGAGATGCAGTGTCTCATTTGCCATTGTCAAATAACGAATATCTGGTTTCCCATGTACAACTGAATCCTTAATTCCTATGGCATCACAAACACTATTGCTGATTCTGTGCAAATAAAGAAAGAGAAATCAGTTAAAGTAATCTTTTTCTTCTTTAATTGCATTCCATTTATAAGCAGATTGCATATACTATTGCAAATCCATTGAAACAAAAAGTTTTTTGTTGATTAGGTTACAGTTTTGCAAAGAAATGTATCCATACAGCAGCATGCAACCTTAATGTTTGGTATGCCTGAAAATGTTTATGGCATCTTAAATTAGAAATCCCATGCCTGAGCAATTTGCCAGTATATAGACACTGGAAAAAACGTATTTGCAATATGATCATATTTTTGCAAACAAATCACAAAATACCAGAATATTGATATTATTGTGCAGGTCAAGGTCAAAATGATTGATCATTGGTAAATTTCTTTTCAAGCATTATTAACTTGTCATTTTCCTGTGCTTTTTAAAAGTGGATTAAATAAGAATACTTTGTAAATTTTTGAGATATCAAAGTTCAACTGTAGTAATAGTTAAGTAATAAGAGTTTACAAAGGTATCCTTAGGCTAGAAAGAAAATGATTTTATATTAATACCTTATAATTATAAGTGCAACTGGAAATTTTAGCAAGATGCAAATGGGATTTGTCCTTGAAAATTGGTATGTTATTTTAAGCAAAAAGTAATTTTAGCGATTTTAAATCGCTCACTAAATAAGCATTTACATGTACATATAAAATGCAATATCAATTTTTAGCAATATTCAATTTAAACAATCTCAGCACCCTCTTTAATAATGCCAAAATTAAATCCTCACAAAAAATTTTGCTAATACAGTACAGTAACTTACTCTGGGTGAAGGAAAAAAACTTTGGAAAAGGCCGTGAAAATGTCTGTGTATCTCCCTCTTCTCCGTGATTCGTTCCATCTAGCAAGAAGGGTTAACAGGTACCTCCAGAAATTCAGAAGGTTAAATCTCCATATGAAGTATAGTCTCATACTGTTAAAAAAATGTAAAAATATACAGTTAATAAATTAAAAACTAAGCAGGTTTAAATTATAACAGTACACAAGGGCACCACATTAAGTGGAGCATCGCCTTGCAAAAAGTATATCTATAAATCAAGACAGTATTCTACATCAATCCCTTTGCATTATGCTGCTTCCATTTTGCACAAAGGACAAACTAAAAAACACACGAACAAGCATGTTACTATACCCCCCCACCCCAACTCCATTGCAAGGGGATAATTAGGAGCTTGCTAGATGTAGTTTTGACTGACAGGAGTATACTGTAAACCAACTTTTATAAGCGACAACTTCATTACGCAATTTATGAAGGGTAAACTAGTTCACGAAAATTAGTTATAGCAATCAAGTCTTTTTTTAATTTGTCGTTAATAGACATAGAGACATTTATGACCGATTAGCCATGAGAAACATTCAAGACGAAAAGGCTCAAGCGTAACCTCACAAAAAATTTTCGCATTCGAATAAAATTTGGTTTACAGTATCAACTGATACTACATTAAAAAATGACACCCCAATAATGCTTAAGTTTATCACATATCCGAATTTGTTAAATTGAAATCAAAATACACAAAAATATTATTTCATAAATAAAGAAGTTGTTTGTAAAGACCATATTAAAGCGCCTAATGTACTTGTTCTTAATATTTCATATATGATAAAATGCTTACTTTGGCTCATCATCCTGTTTAACCCTTTCATCCATTTCTTGATCTTTTTCGAATTCTTCCACATGTTCAGTGATCTTTTCCTTTGTTTCCATCGCATCCTTTACGTCACCCCTTTTATCCTTTTCAAGATTGTAGGAAAATGACCATTTTTCTGAAGTTAATTGTTTCAAGATGTGGCAGATTTTAGGCATTTTGCCTAGTGTGTTTAGGGAGACTAAAGTTTTCAGATTTGACATGAAAGTTTCCAGATCTGTAGAATTTTCTTTATATTTAACTCCTAATTGTGAAAGGTTATCTAATGTCCAGTCAGCTGCCTGTTTTGGAAATCTCTCATTCTTTTTAAATCCTGACAACGATTGACATCCAATGAAAAATAAATCAGAATCAGATTCATCAGAATCGTACACGTTACTTTCACTTTCAGCCATATCTTTCACTTTTTAGGTAGCGTAGCGTTTCGACACTACGACATTTCGCACCTTCTTGTTTTAGTGTACATGTACATTGGGGAAGATTCTCAGCTTCATATCAACCTCATATCACAACAAAATTAATATAGGTAGTATTTATAAAATGTAATTATAAGTAAAATAATGTTAAATTAAATAATCGCTCAAGAACAACAACAACCAAAAAAAAAAAAAAAGAACACCACTAGACTCTTAATAATGTATAGTATTGTATTTTTTGCGGAGATATTATTTCGAGGTTTTCACGATTTAATTCTTCCTATTGTACACATGATTAATATAAGTGTAATAAATATAATTTCTGAAAAAAAAATGTCTAACAAGAACTGGGGTTGAAGTTGAATATCGGAGGGGGGGGGGGGGGTCCTGTCCACAAGTAGTACTTTGTCTGGAACAAAGCGTGCGTGTGCACTGTGGAGGGGATGCATGCACCCCGTGTTACGTGCTTGCAACACTGGAATTAACAGGACTTAAATCTTTTTGTATTGTAGATTGTGATATTTAAAAAAAAAAAAACAAGAGGCACATTCGCCACATTGCTCACCTGAGCACTGAAGCTAAGAAAAAAGCAGAAATCAGTTCAGTACGAATTGAAAGTTTAAATCCAACCTACATATACCCTTAAAGGAGAGGGGGTTATGATATATTTGAACAAACTTAAATACTTGAATTTACAATAGCAAGGATGCTTGCATATTTCTTTGACTAACTGTTGCTTTTTTACCCTGTAAGTTTGAACTTCCATTTCGATCACGGTCCCACCCTATAATAAACCCCCATCCACCCTCAACCGCCTCCCCAGGTCATGATTTGAACAAATCTGAATCTACACTATATGAGGATATTTCCATATAAATGTGACCAATCATTGCTTAGTTGTTCTTGAGATGTTATATACACTACAGATCTGTAGCGTTATGGTTTTTAATATATTCGATCAATGCATACTATCTCTGCAAGATATATTATTGTTTTCAGCGGCAGCTCACACAAATTGGTCCGACCAAAATAGTTCCATCATGATTAAGTAGATACAACATTATTGTTCATGATAAGAGTGAAGTTGTGTATTTCATACGTTAAAATCAAAAATAACGTCAGAAATCAAAAATAACGTCAAAATATTATTAGAAAATCACTTTCCCCCCGAAATGCAAATAAAAAATATCAATATTCCTACGCTCGCTCCCTCCTCAGCCTTTTTTTTTTTTTTACATGTTTGATAATAGAGAATATTTAGGTCATTCTTCGATTCATATTTTTTCACCGATGAATTGATAATACTATATCAACAATTGTATTAAGTACATGTTTATAGTCTGTTAATTATCATACAATTTCCTTTTAAGAAAAAATAAATCATTCTGTGTGTGTATATTATTAAATGACGGAATTTTCAATCCCTGGCTGGATTCTGCTCACGTGTGTACACTTTGTAAACTGTAGGGGATAAAATGTGTGGCAAAACGAGAACTGGGTCGGACATTCGGGTTCGTGTTGGAGTTCAGCATAGGCTTACCATTTTATATAGAACTTGAATAATGTAAGTAATATCTGCGACGAATACATTAGCATATGTATTTCAGTAATTTTCAAAACAAAAAAGGTTTTCAGTTTAGAATTTTCCGATCCGGTCTTGATTTTCCTAACACGGCCATTTTAAACACAAGTTGTTGCAGATGCAAATGTTAGAACAAACTATATATAGTTCAACAGGGATTGTACAATTTTTATTAATCAGAATTCGTATTCATATGATCTAATTAAGAAAAGAAAAGTTTTGTCTGCCATCGTAACTTCTCGGCAAAACAAAACGTGTTCCTCCGAGCTCGCTGGATGCGTTTAACAGCTCCATCGCACGTGTGTAGATCAAGGCTAATGTTGGTCTTGCGGACACAGGTTCATGTAGGCCTATGTGTACCGTTTGTTAGGAGACTGGGTGACCTCACCATGCTCACGAAATTTACACCAGTTCCATAACTAGGCCCTAGACATTGCAGTTTTTTTATTAACGTCATTATAAACACTGATAAGCATATTAAATCTAAAAGTCGAATATCTTTGGATATGGGGTAACCCATATCTATTCTTGTATATATTTGTCTTTAACCATAACGCTATGGATCCCGTAATGCAAAAAAGTGCAATTTACGTCGCAATATTTTTTGCGCACTTTTGGGGAGAATTTCTCCACTTTCTAGCACTGGTCAATCGACTACCTTTCACTCCCTAATTCTAGACAAATTATTTAACTGATCTGTATATTTTGTCTATATACCAACCCTTTATGGTCGTCTCTACAAGTGATAAACTCGCTTGATAAAATTATATGTTAGATTGCTGAAAATTCACTTCAGGCGAGTTTATTGCGAGATATGGTTGGGAGGTGGATAAAATATACATATTGGCTACAGAATGTGTCTAGAATTAGGGAGTGAAAGGTAGTTGATTGACCAATGCTAGAAAGTGGAGAAATTCTGCCCAAAAGTGCGCAAAAAATATTGCGCCGTAAATTACACCTTTTTAGCTCACCTGAGCCGAAGGCTCAAGTGAGCTTTTCTGATCACATTTTGTCCGGCGTCCGTCTGTCTGTAAACTTTTCACATTTTCGACTTCTTCTCAAGAACCGCTGAGCCAATTTCAACCAAACTTGCAACAAAGCATCCTTGGGTGGAGGGGATTCAAGTTTGTTCAAATGAAGGGCCACGCCCTCATTCAAGGGGAGACAATTGGAAATTAATTAAAATTTGGTGGTATGTTTTAAAAATCTTCTTCTCAAGAACCACTGTACCAGGAAAGATGAAACTTATGGGGAAACATTCTCAGGTAGTGTAGATTCAATTTTGTTCAAATCATGACCCCCGGGGGTAGGGCGGGGCCACAATGGCCGACCAAAGTTTTACATAGAAATATATAGGAAAATTCTTTAAAAATCTTCTTCTCAAGAATAGCAAAGCCAGAATTGATCATATTTATATGGAAGCATCCTCAGGTAGTGTTGATTCAAGTTTGTTCAAATTATGACCCCCGGGGGTAGGGCGGGGTCACAATGGCCGACCAAAGTTTTACATAGAAAAATATAGAAAAATTCTATAAAAAATCATCTCAAGAATAGCAAAGCCAGAATTGATCATATTTATATGGAAGCATCCTCAGGTAGTGTAGATTCAAGTTTGTTCAAATTATGACCCCCGGGGGTAGGGCGGGGCCACAATGGCCGACCAAAGTTTTACATAGAAATATATAGGAAAATTCTTTAAAAATCTTCTTCTCAAGAATAGCAGAGCCAGAATTGATCATATTTATATGGAAGCATCCTCAGGTAGTGTTGATTCAAGTTTGTTCAAATCATGACCCCCGGGGGTAGGGCGGGGCCACAATGGCCGACCAAAGTTTTACATAGAAATATATAGGAAAATTCTTTAAAAATCTTCTTCTCAAGAATAGCAAGGCCAGAATTGATCATATTTATATGGAAGCATCCTCAGGTAGTGTTGATTCAAATTTGTTCAAATCATGACCCCCGGGGGTAGGGCGGGGCCACAATGGCCGACCAAAGTTTTACATAGAAATATATAGGAAAATTCTTTAAAAATCTTCTTCTCAAGAATAGCAAAGCCAGAATTGATCATATTTATATGGAAGCATCCTCAGGTAGTGTTGATTCAAGTTTGTTCAAATCATGACCCCCGGGGGTAGGGCGAGGCCACAATGGCTGACCAAAGTTTTACATAGAAATATATAGGAAAATTCTTTAAAAATCTTCTTCTCAAGAATAGCAAAGCCAGAATTGATCATATTTATATGGAAGCATCCTCAGGTAGTGTTGATTCAAGTTTGTTCAAATCATGATCCCCAGGGGTAGGGCGGGGCCACAATGGCGGACCAAAGTTTTACATAGAAATATATAGGAAAAAGCAAAGCCAGAATTGATCATATTTATATGGACGCATTCTCAGGTAGTGTAAATTCAAGTTTGTCAAATCATGACCCCGGGGGTAGGTCGGGGCCACAATGGCCGACCAAAGTTTTACATAGACATTTATAGGAAAATTCTTTAAAAATCATCTTCTCAAGAATAGCAAAGCCATGATTGGTCATGGGACTACTTTTGGATTTAAACTTTTCAATAGTAAACCAATTTCTACTTTTTCCTAGCCATAGTGCTCAGGTGAGCGATGTGGCCCACGGGCCTCTTGTTTGCATTACCACGGAATTTGTAGCGTTACATATGGTTAAAGACAAATATATAGAACCATAAAGCTACAGATCTGCAGCTAGTTCTTGAGGAGAATTAAGATTTTTAAAGCATGTGCCACCAAATTTTCACTATTTCTGAATTATCACCCCTTGAATAAGGGCATAGCCCTTTATTTGAACAAACGTGAATCCTACATCCAAGGACGCTTTGTGGCAAGTTTGATTAAAATTGGCCAGGTGTTTCTGGAGAAATGAAATTTATACAGATGGATGGATTAAAGGGGGTACAAATGTGATCAGAAAAGCTTATTTGAGCTTTTAGCTCAGATGAGCTAAAACGCTTTGATATTTTCCTGTTTATGCCCCCGTAATAATAGTTAGGTCAAACTTGAAGGTCAAGGGGTAAAAAATTATAGTGTTTCAGAGGCATATCGTTTTTCGTCTGTCCTTCTGTCTGTTTGTATGTTTAGAGGTTTTGTCCACAAGTTTTAGCATGGACTTTCTTAATTATTTCACATGTGTATTCCCTGTGACAGACTTTAGGTGACCAGGTGACATTTTTTACGTACCTCTTCATCTTATCATTTGAAATTGACTTTCTTTGGAAAAGGATTTAACCTTAGCCATAGCTTTTGAACGGTGCTGTTTTAAAAGACTTACATTTAACACTTGTATTCCTTGTTCCTTGATATATTAAAATCTTTCTTTTGGCACTAATATTCTTGACCTTGGATGAACACATACCTGTCTGAAAAAAAAATTGAATCTAGTTATATTTTGTGAATGGTTAGTGCTAGGGCAAAAGTTAGAGTTTCTCAAATGCAAGTCAAACTCTAAGGTCAAGGGGGAAAATACTTTACCCAAAGAAAGAACTTTTCTCCATGAATATACCTGTAGAATATTTATGAATACCCAAACACTCAATCGCTCAAATGATATGTTCAAGATTAAATCTTTAAAACTAGGTAAAACAACAAGTTCAAGCCAGGGGAAGATCTTGTCAGAAGATATGAACATGAGAAATAATTATATAAAAGCTCTACAACGTATATCACCAATGGCCAATGTTACATGTAAAGACTGGTAAATTTTGGCGAAAGTGGGTCAAATTTCAAGAATTGTTAGTATTTCAATGAAGTTCTAAGGACGAGGAATATACAAATGAATACAAAAGCCCTATTACATGTAGTAACTGTTAAAATAATGACCAAGGTTAAGGGTTTTTTTTTTTAATTTTAAAAAAAGGTAAAAAAAAAAAATAACAATCTAACGCCAACGTCAAGATTTTAAATTTACTGGTAACCAAAAAAATATATAGTCATAAGAAATACATGCACATATGAATTTAAGAAAGCCATAGCTCCAATAAATTTTATTTTAATTTTTTTAAGAACAAACAGAGAGACACACGGGCGGACAGGGAATTTAAATTTATTTATATATAATTTTCAATTGAATACATACTTCAACAAATAGACCGACAGTCCCACGTGGGCGGACAGGGGAGAAGATATATACTAGTACCCCGAATCTTCAGGGGAACATTATAATATATTTTTGTATAATTTTCAATTTAATTATCTATAGATATATACTTTTTTAAAAGTGTAAAATAGTTAGTATAAATAACGATATCAGAATCAGATGAAACAATTTTGGATTTTTTATTTGTTTTTGTTTGTGTTGTTTGATACTTATAATAAGTACATTTTGTACTTCAACTACAAGATGAAGTAGCTTTCCTTTCTATAAAATGGATATAACCTCGATCATTGTTTCCCAGATGGTCTGAGTTTAAATTAATTAAATTTAATATTTTGATCATTTAATTTATCCAGAGACGTAAATAAATGTCTCTGTTTTACCATATAATTTTTCAAATTTTATTATTTTATAAATCTAAAAAATATGTTGATATCCAAAGAATAAATGAATGATTGAGTAAATAAATGAAGTATTTGTTTAATTTGATTAATTAATTATATCTCATAATTTTGCGGAATCAACGAAAAATATTCTTCTGACTTTGGACAATTATGGTTATTTACTAGTTATATGAGTAGTAATTTTGATGTGAAGGCCTAAATGTGTCAGTATCGCTGCCCTCGGTGATTTGACACTTTGATTGTGATTTAAAACGACTCGCTCAACCACTTAACACCCCTGTGGGCCTCACTTTCTAATGAATGCAATTAGAGTGACTTCCCTTTGAGCTGTTTATGACTGCGGCGGGAAAAACAATCACTCCCATTGGCGGAAAAAAGTCACGTGATCTACATTGGTTAGCGTCTTACCGGCCGCACTGCTCTTTATTTCCTTCACAAAGAATTGTACAGCGTTCATAATACTACACTATGGGTAAGTTTCCTTCTATACGCTATGTAGTAGTATGATAGAATGTATAAAGGGCTATATAGTAATAGTAACGAAGTCAAATGAAACTGTTTGAAATGGTTGTTTTGGGTTTGATATTGATCGGAAATGAAGAAAAATGTCTAGAATTCCTTTGTTTGGGGTAAGAATGGTAAATAAGGCGGGCTTGGAGATTTTTTTTCGTAGTTTCATAATGATTGTATATGCACTTGTAAACCTTATATTGCATTAGCAAGTTTTGCGCAAAATTAATTAAAATTTTGTTTTATATTATTTTTGTATGTTTGAAATAAGTAAATTTAGATTGAAAACATGTTGTTTGTGTGACCTATTTACCTAGATTTGACAACAAAGGATATATTTGAAATTTTTAGAACATTTTTTTTCAGCAATTTGATTAAGTTAAGAAAAGTAAATGCGTTGCATCAGCATGCAAATTATGAACCAGAAATTTTAACTGTGAATTAGTTATCTATGTACAATAAAAATTAAATTAAAATTGAAGCAGAATTGAACAGCAGGGAAATATTTTTTTTCTTCAAAAATTAGCTTGATGTTATGAGCATGGAAATAAAAAAATCCAAGGAATTACATTATGAAAAGAATGTTGCTATGAAATAAATGAGGAATATAAAATGATTTAGTTGCTTGATGATGTTGATGGTACAGAAACAAGACTTGAAGGAAAATGTTTGATAGATAAATGTTAACATGGTTAACAAATAATATTTTTTCAAAAGAATTAACATTTTATTGAAATTATCAAGACTCTATAACATAATGTTTCTGAAATTATCTAATATCTCGGGCAAATTAATTTTGTCAATTCTCCAGTGACTTGGAAGAATTTGTTTCATGATTAACAAACAAGTTGGTCTATTGTAGGTCGTCCAAAGGCAGAAGGGGGTAGGAAGAGGAAAGCTAAGGACCCAAATAAGCCAAAGAGGTCCACATCAGCCTACTTCTATTTCTTGGGCAAAATGAGGGAAGATGCAAAAAGCTCTGGAAAACCCATAACAAAGGTAGAATTGAATACAGAATTAAAAAAAAAAAATCACCTGTTGTTTCAAGGCATGTTAAATGAAAACCACGTGGATATGAGATTTTTGCTGTATTGTTTCCATGTCTTGAAATCAAAATGTTCTTTGTAGTAGTGGGACGATCCACCGGTGCACCAATGCATCACAGTATTCATTTTGACGATCTATAGATCGATTCATCTAATTTAGTATCACGATACCTGATTACATTTTTTCTTTTATTTCCAAAAATGTCTGGGCTTTAGAATTCGAAATTTTTAGTCCTTTACTCTGTATCATCAAGACATTTAAGCAAACAGAAATAAAGTACAAATGTCTTTGTGATACAGAATTCGAAATATAAGCGTGAAAATGGTGTCAGACACGCCAGATTATGTTGAATAAACAAAACCCAATGGCAGTAAGTCACAGTTCATTTGTTGAATTAGTTTATTTTCATACACTGTTATATTCCAAATTAAATGTTCCAGAAAAAAAATGTCTAGTTTTATTTGGTTTTAAATGTATCCTGATATGTATCGCATCGCACCTAAGGTATCGTGATTTGTATCGGATCGGCTAAGTTCAGTTTCGTCCCAGCCCTAGTTCTTCTCAAATTCAGTCTCACATCCTTAAAATGAATTATGCTTTTGCTTTTCATTCTTAGGAGCAAAGCCTCAGTAGAAAAGCCATGCCATTTAGTGCAATGGCCAAGCAGCAGATTTTTTGGAAGAATTAAATTGTGTACTATTTCATATGTCATTACACTCTCTTTCAGATTGCAGAATTCACCAAAGAATGTTCAGCAAAATGGGCAAAAATGACAGAAAAAGACAAAGAGCCATTCAGCAAAAAGGCAGCCGCTGACAAGAAGAGATATGATGCAGAGATGGCAGCTTATAAAGGCAAGGACCCCAGCGAGGCAGGCAAACCAAAGAGACCTCAGTCCGCCTACTTTTGCTTCCTAGCCGACTTCAGGGAAAAAATGAAAGGGAAGAACATCGACCATAAGGAGATCATCAAAATGGGTAAGATTTCAAATTTATAAAGACTTCCAGTTGTGTGTTAATCACAGGGGAAAATTAAAAACATACCCCTCCCACCAATCCACCCCCCAAAAGATGAAAGAGGGGGGGGGGGTAGAGAAAGGTCTTGCTCTTTAGTTAGGATCCGTGTTGCATGACATCTCGGAAAATTTAGGTGTTTGGATTTAGTTTATCCATAATTGTAAACTGTAACCTAGGAATGTAATAAAGGCTAGGATTTTGTAGCAATTGTACGTAAACCAAAACTGAAATCGGTGGAACAATTATTCCTATATTTTAAGATTAACAGTTTGTGATCATTTGAAAATCCTCTCTTCTGAATTATTTCCTTGAAAATAAAAGATGTAAAGATAATGGATTGTGAAATGGCCAGAGGTTTTCATATAAAATCTTTTTGTTTTTCAGCTGGTGAGGCCTGGAGGAACCTTGATGACAATGAGAAGAAACCCTTTGAGAAGTTGGCCCAGAAAGAACAAGAGAAATATGAACAAGCCCTGGCTGACTGGAGGAGGGTAGGTTGGGGAGGCAGTGCAGTGTCTCCATATTAAAACTCTTCATTACATATATTTAGGGACATTACAAATGGTGCTTCTAGTCTTTGTTCAAATTCATGTGTTGTTTTCATTTGGGACAATATTTATCTAAATTGATTGTTGTCTCCGACAAATATTGATATCTCATATACTATTTTATATTTGTTGAACTAAATGAAACAACTTGTTCACATACTCATAGGGTTTTAGATAAGGTACTTCCAATGGTATCTTTGTGACACAGATATAGCAAAGTTAATTTTGATCCCCAGCTATAGTAATTTTACAAATTCATTATACAGATACAATGAATTATGGATATAATGTAGTAATTTCAGAGCTCTCGGCGACTTGGTTTTAACCAAGTTTTATGTACAAAAAATTCTAAGCAGATTTCAAAGATTTTTTGTGTGTGTTGAAGTCTAACTTTTAGTATCCTCGTTGTAGGGTGGTGGAGGAGCATCCCCAGCCAAGAAGTCCAAACAGGAAGAGAACGGCGATGATGATGACGAGGAGGACGAAGAAGATGAAGACGATGATGAGGACGATGATGAATGAAGAGCCGTGGAACGTAGTGTGAAATTCCTACCCAATTAATGCCAGTCCATACCGTCACAAAGATCTGCATCACTATTTTATTGACCCAGCACTACCGTGGAAAAGAGATCTCGTCTAGCCACTGCTGAATAACTGTGTTCTAGTAGATATGGTGAAAAAAAATAGATTTTTATTTAAATGTAAAGAAAAAAGATTGATAGTTGGATGAAATATTAATACATGGTTGTTTGAGGAACTGAATGAAGTTATGTCCCTTGACCAGTGCTAAATTATGCATTAAAGCTTTATCTAGGATATTTGATATTATTATACATTTGAGGTACGACAAAGTCTTTTGAACAAAACTTTTTTTGGGTGAAATAACTTGAGTTTTAGTAATGAAGAAAGGTTGGTGCAATCTGGTTGTAAATATTTCATATTTTTATCATTATAGACCATTCATTTTATCATATTTAATCTCATCTGTATTTTTTTGTCCCATGTATGTAAAGCATTGTATTAAAAGTGACTCTACAAATTTATAAGTTATTCTGCGTATTGACAGATATGCATTGCACAGATACTCCATCCTAACCCTGCCTGACGCGGGGATTTATATTTTTTTGTCTTCTGGATTTTTTCCACTCAGGGACTATGATGTTGACAGGCATTTCAATTTTTGATCATTTGCACCATTTTCAGCATTTTTCTCAAGAAATATTATATGTTTATTGTTGAAAAGAGAAGAAATTTCCAAGCAATAATTTTCAAGTAACCTTTTATAAATATCAAATTATGTCAGTGCTGATTCATGTAATTGTTTCATCATTTTTCGTCATTTTTCATGTAGAAAACATATCATGATATCATGTGTTGGAAATTTGTGAAAGTTTGTATCTTTTTAGTGAGAATTTTTAAGAACTGAATAAAATCAAACATTTTTTTTTCTGCCATTTTATGTTTAGAAAAGTTTAGTTTTTACAACTTCGAATTAATATTGTTTGCAAGTTGTATGTAATAAAAATGTGTGCTTTACTTTGAAGGCTTTTGATTTAAAAGTTTTATAGAGACTACCCCTGTGTCTAAAAATTGAGAGCAGTGGAAAATTTTCAGATAAGGTTTGATGGTCGTTTTATGAAAGTCATCAAGCTTGTACTACTGGATTGTCTCAAACATTGAAATTTAGATTGTGCTTCTATACAGTTATCACATAGACAATGGAAAACAATATTCCAGAACCAATTATTTTGCCCATTTGAAGAAGGGAGGGCAAATTGCTTTGCTGCTGTCGGTCTGTCTGTCCATTGGTCCACAAACAGTTTTTGTTCATATTTGCAGAGGTTGCACATACTGAAATAAAGTTTGGTGTATAGATTTATCATTAGGATATCTAGGTCAAGCACTGATTTGGGTATGAATGAATAGTTTTGGACAGAGTGATGATGGACTAAGAAAAATTCCAATTTATTATTTGCTGCAGAGGTTGCACTGAAATGAAATTAAATTTACAGATTTATCATGAGAATGTACATAGGCATATTCTATTTTGAGTACGATCGAGCAATTTTGGACAGTTGTGCTCCTTGGACTTAAAAAATTCCAAGTATTTGCAGTTTCCGTTCATTTTATACTCACTGCTTGAAAAGTGGGAGGGTATATAGTAATATACTGTACATCCATCTCTGTCTGTTACACTTATATATACCGCGGAATAAATTTTATGAGACCTCAAAAAATCTTTGTTACATAGTGTCATTGTGCATCCTGTTTTATTTTTTGGAAGGATACGTTTTTGGTTTCCCATAATAAAACAGGAGACATTCAATGCCATTCTTTCTATAATTTTGAAGGGCACCCATCTCTTAACCGCAACATTTGAAAATTTTCAGCTTTGTTTTATTAGCTCACCTGAGCCGAAGGCTCAAGTGAGCTTTTCTGATCACATTTTGTCCGTCGTCTGTCCGTCTGTCTGTCTGTCTGTCTGTCCGTCTGTAAACTTTTCACATTTTCGACTTCTTCTCAAGAACCACTGAGCCAATTTTGACCAAACTTGGTACAAAGCATCCTTGGGTGAAGAGGAATTTAAATTGTTAAAATGAAGGGACATATCCCCTCGCAAGGGGAGATAATCAAGAAAAGACAAAAATAGGGTGGGGTCATTAAAAAATCTTCTTCTCAAGAACCACTGGGCCAGAAAAGCTGAAACTTATGTGAAAGCATCCTAGGGTAGTGTAGATATTAAATTGTTCAAATCATGACCCCCGGGGGAAGGGCGGGGCCACAATGGGGAATCAAAGTTTTACATAGAAATATATAGGAAAAATCTTGGAAAATCTTCTTCTCAAGAACTACTGGGCCAGGAAAGCTAAAACTTTTGTGGAAGCATCCTGGGGTAGTGTAGATATTGAATTGTTCAAATCATGACCCCCGGGGGAAGGGCGGGGCCACAATGGGGAATCAAAGTTTTACATAGAAATATATAGGAAAAATCTTGGAAAATCTTCTTCTCAAGAACTACTGGGCCAGAAAAGCTGAAACTTATGTGAAAGCATCCTAGGGTAGTGTAGATATTAAATTGTTCAAATCGTGACCCCCGGGGGAAGGGTGGGGCCACAATGGGGAATCAAAGTTTTACATAGAAATATATAGGAAAAATCTTGGAAAATCTTCTTCTCAAGAACTACTGGGCGAGAAAAGCTGAAACTTATGTGGAAGCATCCTGGGATAGTGTAGATTCTAAATTGTTCAAATGATGACCCCGGGGGGAAGGGGTGGGCCACATTGGGGATTCATAGTTTTACATTGAAATATATAGGAAAAATCTTCTTCTCAAGAACTACTGGGTCAGAAAAGCTGAAACTTATGTGGAAGCATCCTGGGATAGTGTAGATTCTAAATTGTAAAAATCATGACCTCCGGGGGAAGGGTGGGGCCACAATGGGGAATCAAAGTTTTACATAGAAATATATAGGAAAAATCTTGGAAAACCTTCTTCTCAAGAACCACTGGGCCAGAAAAGGTGAAACTTATTTGCACATGGAAGGATCCTGGGGTAGTTGATTTCAAAATGTCTTAATTATGATCAGTGGGGTAGGGTGGGGATACATAATGTATTACAAGGGGGAAATCTGGTAAAGAACAGAATGGTCAAAGCTTCTCAGGTGAGCGATGTGGCCCATGGGCCTCTTGTTTTTTATTAGCTCACCTGAGCCGAAGGCTCAAGTGAGCTTTTCTGATCACATTTTGTCTGGCGTCCGTCTGTCTGTCCATCTGTCTGTCTGTCTGTAAACTTTTCACATTTTCGACTTCTTCTCAAGAAGCGCTGGGCCAATTTCAACCAAACTTGCCACAAAGTATTCTTGGGTGAAGGGGATTCAAATTTGTTCAAATAAAGGGCCATGCCCTCATTCAAGGGGAGATAATTGGGAATTAATGAAAATTTAGTGGCATATTTTAAAATCTTCTTCTCAAGAACCACTGTGCCAGGAAAGATGAAACTTATGGGGAAACATCCTCAGGTAGTGTAGATTCAAGTTTGTTTAAATCATGACCCCTGGGGGTAGGGCGGGGCCACAATGGCCGACCAAAGTTTTAAATAGAAATATATAGGAAAATTCTTTAAAAATCTTCTTCTCAAGAATGACAAAGCCATAATTCATCATATTTATATGGGAGCATGCTCAGGTAGTGTAGATTCAAGTTTGTTCAAATCATGACCCTGGGGGAAGGGCGGGGCCACAATGGCCGACCAAAGTTTTACATAGAAATATATAGGAAAATTCTTTAAAAATCTTCTTCTCAAGAATAACAAAGCCATAATTGATCATATTTATATGGAAGCATCCTCAAGTAGTGTCGATTCAAGTTTGTTCAAATCATGACCCCCGGGAGTAGGGCGGGGCCACAATGGCCGACCAAAGTTTTACATAGAAATATGCAGGAAAATTTTTTAAAAATCTTCTTCTCAAGAATAACAAAGCCGTAATTGATCATATATATATAGAAGCATGCTCAGGTAGTGTAGTTTCAAGTTTGTTCAAATCATGACCCCCCGGGGTAGGGCGGGGCCAAAATGGCCGACCAAAGTTTTACATAGAAATATATAGGAAAATTCTTTAAAAATCTTATTCTCAAGAATGACAAAGCCATAAATCATCATATTTATATGGAAGCATGCTCAAGTAGTGTAGATTCAAATTTGTTCAAATCATGACCCCCAGGGGTAGGGCGGGGCCAAAATGGCAGACCAAAGTTTTTAAAGATATATATAGGAAAATTCTTTAAAAATCATTTTCTAAAAAATAGCAAATCCATGATTGGTCATGGGACTACTTTTGGATTTAAACTTTACATTAAAAAGCCATTTTCTACTTTTTCCTACACTTAGTGCTCAGGTGAGCGATGTGGCCCATGGGCCTCTTGTTGCTTTATTTAGCGTTTGTATCATCTCAAAAGGGGTTGAGAGTATAGAACTATATTTTTGCACGTAACTTTAAAATGGCGACTATGGGATCGACATCCTGTCTTGAACAGGATCACATAAGCCGGCAATTGCTCTTTGAGCAATAAGCCCGGCTAAAAACAGAGACCCTTGGAACACCAGAGGTGAGATCAGGTGCCTAGGAGGAGTAACTATCTCCTGCCTATCAGTCAGTCGTATTTAGAACAGGTGTACAGACTGCCCCAAAGTTAAAGACAATGATTTAATAATTATAGATATTGAACGTGTAGGACTGTGTATGTCATATATATCATGCTCGACGCAACGATAGCTAGGTTGAATCTAGGGGGGGGGGGATTGGTAGCCATGTGAATTCCAACATATCATTGAAAAAATATAGTCTTTAAAGTTTATATGACTAGATATTGTCAAAGAGAAATTCAATCTTCTTTTTGAGCAGCAACCTCTGGACTTTCTGGTCTCGTGTAGAATCAGCCTTTGCTGCATACAAATACGTCTGCAGTTGTAAACCAATGTATAGGGGCCTATACAATGCGTGTTAATTTACATGCTCCTTGAAAAATAATTGTCAATGATCTTGAAGGTCATTTAATTATCGATATATGGAATATATAATTTAAATTGTTGAAAATTGTACGTTTCAATGCTACATGTATTGCATGATTTTGGTAAATTTTTGTGGTCTGAGATTTTTCAAAAGTTCCTTAGAGTTTTTATAAGCATCCACATAATAACTCCTCTAATATGTGGTTGAGTCGTATATCCCTAAAGTTTATCATTTATTTTTGTGATGAGGATAGAAGCTTGTAACATTGTTAACGATATTGCATAATGCAGTTTTATGTGTATACATTAAGTAAAAAAGCGTGAATCTCATTGAATTCGTTTGAAATGAAATGTGAAGATATAAAACAGTAATCACGCTCATATTGAAAGCAGAGAATACACAGAGCTCTATAAACATCAGATGTGGGATCAAATGCCATATAGAAGCAAGCATCCCCTGTCAATCGATAACAACCGCATTGTGATCTTTGTTTTGATATGGCAAACAGAACAATCGGACCATTCATTGTAAATAACAGCCTAAAAAATTGCTGGAAAAAAAATCATCATTCGAATAAATGAGAGATTGTACTTGCAATTGTTGACTTTGAGAATTTCCATTTCTAACAGGACCAAATTCTCTACCCTTAAATGTCCATCAAGTAAATAAAACTCTGAAATTAACTTAATGAAAGCATTTATATTATAGATGAAAAGGATTTCACGAGAGAAACTTTCATTAATAATTTTATAATATACACGGGACGTGGAGACCGGCCCTTTAGATGAGACCATATAAACCGAGGTCCCGTGTCGAGGTGCTTGCAAGATCCCTCCCTGTTCAATGGCCTTAAATGTCGAGCATTGGTCAAAATTTGCAGCTCTCCACCGGCAAGAGCTGGCATATGAGTGAAATATGAGGAATGTTAAACAACAAACTAACATACATGTACTACCAACAATTAATGCTGTGTGTCTGCGCGCACAAACGAATTTTGGCGGAAGTTGTTCTTTGTTTCATTAATTT